CTCTCTTTTTTAATATATATATATATATATATATATATATATAACATGATTTTTGCTTGTTTATACAGAAGTGAAGAAGATAGAATCATAGAATAAGAGAATGAATGAGAGGCTACTAGTAAAATCTTTGTCAGTGATAAATCATATTAAATGATTTTAATAATATATGGGACTTTATTCTTTTATTTTTCTCCTTTATCTTTTACCTTTTCTTCTTAGTCATTCTTTCTGACAATTACTGTGACAATCAATTAACAGAAAAATTTAAGCATTCTTTTTATTGTGTACCAAAGGTTTGTCCTCTTTGTCGTGTTGTTAATGTATCAAAATTATCAGAGCCAACTAAGTTGATATCTATACATTTAGACTTCGGGTCTTGGCTTACTTGAAAATGTAGGAATTAAAACTTTTCAAAAATGCTATCGCCATTCTTTGTTGTGTGCTCTTATTTCTTTATTGCTATCTTAATTCTATCTTTTATGTTTGATTGGTTTGCTTGTTGAAACTCTTTTAATAGGCAACTTTCCTAGATGATTCATTCAGCATAGATCATGCCCGGCAACATGGTCATACACATTTATTTGAGGTATGTAACATGTTTCTTATTACTCGTATTCCATATTTTATTTATGACTCATTCTCGTGCCATTGCTATATAAAAACCTAGAGTCTACCTGATCAGACAAATCGACATCGCATATTCTTGTGATTGACCAAGTCTCAGAATGATGACTCTACTGCGTATTGTATTGAAGAGTTCCTGATTAGTAAACTTGTGTTAACTATGTAGCTCATTGCAAATGCACAGTGGATTCGCAACAAAGCAGTTCTATTGACTCATTTTTCATCAAGATATACTATAGAGGTAATGTTATAGCTTTCCTTTTGGTTTTATGAACTTGCAACTTGCATCCCCCAATGGCTCATTCATATCTGCACAGCTACCAATTAGATGCAAAACTCCCAAGATATGCATTTTAGAATGTAAATCTTTAAGTGCTTTTAGTATTGTTATTCAATTAATTAAAGTTTTATCTTAGTAATATGTAATAAAAGTTTGCATTAAAGATCAACACAAATTATCGAAGTGAAATTTTAACTCTGAGTAGACAATAATACTAAAAGTTCCTTAGAAATTGCATCTAAGTTCTTACCATGTAATAATGTTAGGAAAATGTGTGCCTTTTGAACAAGTCGGTGAATAAATAGGCATCTATTATTTTGATCCTCAGGATATTCGTCAAGCTGCATCAAAATTGCAGTCCAGGCTGTCCGCCAAAGTGGTTCCTCTTACAGAAGGCTTCAGATCTATGTACTCTTGAGTGTTCAAACTCCATTCAATCTTTACCAATTACCACCATCAGTACATTAGTTGTATCTTCGTTTCATAGTTTTTTGTAAATTAGAGATGTATATTTGTTTTCTTTGTTTTATTAATTTGTAAGCTTTCTTTTTATTTATAAGAAACGGAGTAGCACGAATGAGTAGGGTGACTACCCTTATGTTACTTCAGTTAGTACAGCGTTCAAGATTTTGTTTCGCCCAACATCAAGTCTGTTTCACATTTTGTTGACACAGGTTTTTTTTACTAATGAGCTGTCATGGTTTTTTATTTGATTATCTAAATTCTCTTGATTAAAGTAAACAATTAACTCGGCCCTGAAAATGATTGATTGCTGAAAAATAGAAAGTTAGCAAATAGTCTTTTGAAATTCTAAGAAAAAAACGTGTGTTTTTATTTCCTATGATTTCGGTCAAACATGATTAATGTATTAGTACTTTCATATTGATGAATTCAATTTTCGAACTTTAAAAAACGTGTGAATTTAGGCTCTTTTAAAGAATTTATGCAAAATTAGAGTTATCTAAAACAAATCTTAAAATGAGACGTTTTAAAGATTAATAATAATATTTTTTATATGAATATTAATGTATAAATTTTTTTAATAGGAAGCCGAAAAGCAGGAATCTTATTGTTCTCATATGAGTGAAACACTAGTTATTTTACTTTTTTTTTCCTTTCCCCTTGTATAGTGTCCTATTGATGTTTGAATTTAAGATGTAATGTAAATTACTATTACTATTTTTCTTTTGACTGGTGTCATATATTAATTTGTCCTCGCAATGTTATTAATGACCTCAGTAGCCTATAAAAAATAAGGACTAATTTTATACTTTAAATTTTGAGTACATGGAAAAAAAGGTAAGTGTCTTATGGCTGCAACTTAAAAAAAAAAAAAAAAAAAAGCATTTGACAATTTTTATATAATTAAATTAGATTAAGTGATTTCTTTAGTGAGAGTTTTATACGGGATAATTTATTATGCATCGATTATTTTTCATGAAAAACACTTTTCCCCTTTATTTTCTTTCTTATTGTAATTTTTTGCGTTGGAATCCAAACTCGAATTATGCAATGTTGTGTATGGGAAAAGTTATCATAATTCTCTTCCTTTCGAAAAAAGGAAAGTCATGATCATGTCTTCATTAGTTTCCAATCATCTCAACAGATATTGTAGCACTCACTTTATTCCATACAAAGACATGCTCCTCAATCTTATTAAAGATAGCTTATACGTTACTCTCTTCTTTTTTCTTTTTTTTTTCTTTTTTTTTTAATGATTTGCACCTTCTTCATTATAAGATTCAAACTCGTGTGGTTCATTCGGCTCCTAAAAAAAAGGTACTCAAAACTCAATCTAACCCAAAGAGCATTGAATTGGGCTTAAGGTTTTAAAATTAAAACAAGATTGAATATATTTTTTGGGTTGGAAAAGGCCGAATAGTTTACCTTTGGAGTTAATTATTCAGTCCATCCAAAATTTCCATGGTGCCATAATTTATTAGTTCTAATTTCTTGCAAAACTTTATGACTTATATGTGTAAAGTGCTTAAATTTATATATTTCATTTGAGTTCCGTCCTAATCCAGTCAAACCAAATCTAACCCAGTTCATGAGCCAAAAAACATTGTCCAAATTAAAATGACCTTTTCTTACGTATATGCATCAAACACATCACCTCACTTCACCCATCATCATATAAAAGGACATAAATAAAATTGTGTGATTAATAAGTATAGGTGTGTGTCTTATGCGAAAACAACTTAAAAGATAAAATTATTTCAACTCAATAATAATTATACACTTGAATTAATTCCTTGACACCTAATCAAACATTTAAACTGTTTATCATAAATTACATTAAAAGAAATTCTTCATAATTATAAATAATTCAACATAAATTAAAATGCGCAAATCATTTACATCTATCATAAAAAATATATTAATATGTATAATTATTTTTCGTCTTCATTTTCTGGTGGATTATTATATTTTTAAATATTAAAAAGTAATAATTTTTTATATTTCTTCCAATTAAGTTTCACATTTATCTATTTTTTTTATTCTTTATTTTTTTTAAAAAATTAAGAGAGATTAAGAGCGTGTTTATCCTACTAGTTGAAATAAAAGGAATTAATGATAATAGTTATAATATGCATTATAATTGGTAAGTGAATTTGGGCATTTGGCAACAATTTTCTATATAAGCTGCGCCAAACTTGTGTCGACATCCGTATCTAAGGACTCATTTTTGTGGGCCAAAGACACTCATCAATGAACACAACATTCATATAAATTTGACTATGATGTGCCAAAAAAACAACACATCAACAAATGGATAAACCTCTCCACAAAGTCGGTTCATACATAACTGAATCTAAATAAATTCATTAAATTTCGCTTCAGGGTTGTGTTGGTAAAAAAATTATTTTGTAATTACTAGGGACAACTCAATTAAATAATCTTTATGTTTGAAATAAATTAATATCCAGTTCAACATTAAGAAAGACTTTTGGACCAAAAAGGGAAAAATGGATAAGCTTCGTCCTCTCTTAAACACAGGAAAAAAAAAGGAGATTTGGAAAAAGGAGTTGCATAACAATAAAAGTTCATATTAACAAGTTTCCTTAAGCTATTAATTAAAGAATTCATAAATAAAAAATATTAAAAATCATTATAAAGTACATTAGTAATGTTTTGTCTACATAAAAAAAAATTATTTATTAACTAATGTCTTAAAAAACTCATAAACTGTACATTCTCCAAAAAAAAAAATTATATAATTTTTTAATCAAGTTTTCTCTAACCAAAATTTAGCAATTAATTCTTTAAAATACTAAAATTTATTTGAGAGATGGATGTTTCCTAAACAAATATTATTCTATAGATAGCTGAACTTTGATAAGCCTGAGTTTAAAATTATTTTTTCATGATTATGCTTTTGAAAAAAATAAATAATATCCTATTGTGTGTAGAACTGTCAAAACGGGTAACCCAGCTCGGCCCGGCCTACCACGGGTTAAGTATTTGGTGGGTCAACCCAACCCAACTCATTTATTAGTGAGCTCAAAAAAATTGAACCCGGTCCGGCTCACCACGAGTTAGTGGGTTAAATAGGTTGACTCACCTAATTTTAAAAAAAACATGATTTTTTTTAATATACAACTAAAGTCCAAAATCATAATTAAATGATAATTCTAAATACAATCAAATAAAATCAAAATAATCTCATGTGTAGGGATGGCAAAAATACCCGCACCCGCGAGTATTTGTGGGTAAAATCCGCTACGGATAATAAATGGATAGGCTAATTGGGTACCCGCGGATAATGGGGACGAATAATGTTTTTACCCATTTATAAATGGGGCGGGGGCGGGTATGATGATATCCATACCCGCGGGTACCCGTTTAATAATATTTCTTAAATATCCTAATTATTCTTATACCACAACCTTAAAAGTACACTCTCTCGTCTTAGTTTCTTACAAAAGTGAGGTTGATGAATTTACCAACATGTGTTAAGCATGTTATAGAATTATGTTGGATATAATTTGATTAATTTTCTAGCTTTGATTGGACCAATAAAATTTATGTATTTTAAGTTGTTTACTTTCGTTTGGAATTATGAGATTGAATTATTGTAGCTTTGTGATGAGACTTTAACTTGTAAGATTGATGTATTTTAAGTCATTGATTATCTTACATTTTTATTATTATTTCAAAAAAATTAACGTTAAATACAAGTTCAAAATTAACATTGAATTTTTATTTTTAATATTTCAATGACATTAAATATAGACTTAAAATTATTTGTAATATAATTTTTTTAATTTTTTTGAAAATTTATAAATATCCATTGATATTCATGGATATCCGTGGATATTCAAGAAATTCATGGATACTCGCGCGAATATGGAGTGGATATGGGGACAATTTTCATCTAGCGGGACGGAGGCGGATTTACTATTACCCGCCCCCATGGGGCCTCATTGCCATCCCTACTCATGTGAACAAATATAATTCAAAATCATCTCAAATACTCTTTTGGGCCCGATAATTCAAATATAATTTAAATCCTAATGCTTATTTGGGCAATTGGGCCCAATAAAATGAAAGATGAAACATAAGTTTTTTTTTAATGGGTTGGTGGGTCAGCCCGGCTCACCACGGGTTCAACCCAGGTGAGCCAGGTTGTTAGTGAGCCGGGTTTAAAATTGGCCTGTATTGAAATTTGTAATTTTTTTTTGCCCAACCCACCTGTGGTGGGTCGGGTTGGTTCACCAAGCTGAGCCCATTTTGACAGTTCTAGTTGTGTGTTTATCATCTTTATTTTTTTTTTCCACCTTAGTTTTTTTTTTAAATTATATTATGTATATGTACTAGATACGATATATATATATATATAT